AGTGCAAATGGTTGAACTCATTTTGACCTTCTCTTTTTTACGTTTCAGATCGGCGGCCTGACAACCAAGCAAGACATATGGACTGTTTATCAGATGACAATGACTTTAAAGAATAATAGTAATTATTATTGTTGTACTTCCTATTCCGGTTTGTGTACAGTTAACCCCTTTTTGTTTGAATTACCTGAATTTTGGACTCTTGCCAATTACACGCTGCCGAGTGCACGTTGTGTTTTGCCCTGACTTATCTCGTGTGCTGTGATCACTGTGACGCGTGCTGCCATCGTTATCAGTTCTTCCCTGCGTTTTTCAGCCATTGACGATCTTTCGTGCCCCCCTGGATTATTGTGCATTACATAATTGGTGACAGAGGTGGGATACGCGCCAGATGGGACAGTGTTTGGTGTTACTGGGGTGGTGCTATGCAAAACGCCAACGACAGCTCCACCAGAAGCAGGGGAGTGGAGCTGCGTCATCGAAGCGCTTGTCAAGTAGGCCTGCTGAGGAGACATAATTCCGGCGGAACAGCCTTGCGGAGTGGTCACTGAGTCGGAGCCGTACACACTCGCAGGGCCGAACTGATCCACTGAATTGGGGCCCGAATGTCCCGCCGAGACGGAATTCACAGACACCGTCATATGCTGTGCAGATTGATCTAACTGACGATTTCCATCGACGGCCAAACGGTGGCCAGCTACCCTTGATACATAGCCCGTGGGTGTGGAGCCGTGGTTGTGTCCGGGGTTCCGCGAACTCCGAGCGTTTTGCGGCGCCATTGATTCCGCAGCGGAATTCTGATAAAGCTGCATCATTGGAGACAAAGCACTGGTGCCGTTGTGGTTATGTACTGTAGTTCTCCCGACAGAACGGTACATGGCTCCCCGTTGGTGTACGGCAGATTAACCGTGAGGCTAGCAACTGGTTGGTGGTCACTGACAGCGACGGTAGTCGTGTACACCAGATAGAGAATTTGACCTGGGCAAAAGTACGTGGGCCGAGATGAAGGGATCGGGTGAAATTCACTAGGACGAGGCTCCCTAGGATCGTAGTGCCCGTGGGCGATTCGTGTGGGGGCGGCCGGCGGCCTGCTGCACTCTTGTTGTTGGGTGCATATGCTTCTGCTGTTGTTCCATTAGCACAAGTTCTGCTTCAGCTTGGGCGTGAGAATCCGCCGCAAGAGGTCCAACGATACGTCGCTCGGGAGAGTCAGAATTCAGCAACTGGACTGACAAGGCTACTGTTTGCCATCGGCGGTCACAAAACAAGGACGGTGACGATCCGTTCACCAACTCGTAGAGTCGCAACAAGCTGGGAGAACGTACAGGAGAGAATACGCTCAACGCAACTCTTCGTCTGCGGAGATTCGTCAGAGGCTCTTTTAACATAGTATCTTCAAGTGGCTTTAGTGTGTCAGCATAAAGATCATTCACATTTATTGGGGACACAGCCAACAAAAAGAAGATGACGCTGAACTTGTTTGCAGAGACCTCGGCGTGCTTTATCGATCGCGTCAAATGCTTGCACGGCCGATTCCAGAAGCCTGCACCCCCCGAAGTGCCTTTGAAAAGATCAGTTTGGTCACTCGCAATGCCTTTCCTCATGTTGCAGCGTCGCAATGCGTTTCAAAATGCGTAGATGATAGGTGTGTCGGGGACCCAAGTGGTAGATGGAAATGGTTGTGCGCCAATAGAATCCATGTAATGAATACAAGACGTGTACGCATCACGTCCAAAATCGGCATTTAAGGGTGGTCCACCGTTTAGATTGCTCAGAATGGGACAGAGGTATTGTTCGCGAAAGTATTTCATGAAATAGGTATCACAATTGAACGGGCGACATCGTTCCATCAAAATGACACAATCTACAGGACACAACTCTGCTGCATAGCTACGTATGGCCTCGACAAAAGCAGACAAGTGGGTGGTGATAGACACACAACCGTTCGAAAGCGCCTCGGAAGACGCGCTGAGATTGGATGTGGGGCTGGTGTTGTGCGAGTCGGAACCCTTCATCACATTTGCTTCCCCAAGATCCACAGACGCGAGAGATTTCGAGGATGAAATTGAATTTGCAGCGGAATTCAGATTCAGTATGTCCGATTCAACGTCGGTACAGGTTGACTCCAGGTCTAAATTAAAATTCGATTCCACAGTGTCATAATTATCCAGAAGAGGAGTACGACTCTTCTCCGTGGAAGCCGCGATCAGATCGCATAATGGTGATGTGATACGATCAGCTGCAGCAGTGTAGTCTGCTGTAAAAAACAACATAGGCGAATTTGATGCAACCAAAGCCTCTAGAGTGGATTTAGGAGGATCCGACTCGCCGGATGGTGCCTGCTCATTGACAAGTGTGATTGAGTCAGACGTAACGAAAGAAAGAGTGGTCCTGCTGGCAAACAAACTTGGCCCGGAGTCACAGCCATCGTTGTACAGACGTTTCGGGGCCGAAAAAGGGCGCGACTCGTCTTCGGTTAATGGAGAATCAGTGTAAGAAGAAACTGCGGAGCGTGGGCGCTTCAGGTCTGCTCGAGGGACGGGAACAGTGATAGGCTCTTCACGTAAACAAGATCTGTACATCGAGGGAGAGCGGATTGATGGTGTAGTAGGCAGAAGGCAAATTGGATTCTGGATAGAACATGGCGTTTCTGCAGCTGGGCGTTCTTGCGAAACTACGGTGTTATCAGAAGAAAGCAACCATTCGCTGAGTTGGCAGGCGTCCCAATCGTCCAAGTTTCTTACGGTAGAATGATAGGCAGTAGCAGTTACAGTGGATAAACGGATGTCCTGCATTTCTGACATTGACAGATTGTTGGATTTATCAAGAGAACCTGCCGGTGATCGCCGCCCATTTAGATTTTGGAGTCACTGAAAGGAAATAATCCGGGAGAACTGTGTGGTCTTTGCTTGCATCCTGAGAGGAGATGGAAAGGAACTTGCGGCGACCGTGCCAAATTTGAAGGAGCGGATGGTGGACGCCCAACAGTTTCATCCACAGAGGTAAGGCAGTCAAATGTGTGGGTGATAAGTGCAGGTGCAATGACGTCATTGCCAGGCAGTGTGATCACGGAGGTTTTCAGTGGCGAATGGTAGAACTTTCGTTCTTCGTCCAGCATACCGAATCGTCGTTACGTCAGCCACTAGAGAGCATGGAATGGATTATGGAAACCAACTGGGATACGATAACGACCAACCATTCCGTTGGGTCGTGTTAAGCCGATCGAAGGACGATTCGGTTTGGGTTTGGGTTGGCAAATGCACCAGCGACTTTCCAGCGACTGATGCACATTGTACTCAGAGATCTGCAGCCAAGCAGATGTCTTGTATACCTGGATGATGTCATAGTTCATGGACGTACGCTCGATGAACATCTCACTAATCTAGAAACAGTGCTGCAGTGCCTTAGTTCCGCAGGATTGAAGTTGAAGCCGTCTAAGTGTGACTTGCTGAAGAGAGAGGTTAAATATCTAGGCCACGTGATCAGCGATTGTGGGATCCGGAGCGATCCGTCGAAAGTACAGGATATCATAAGTTGGCCTATTCCCGAGTCCGTTGAAGAGGTTCGGAGCTTTATGGGTCTGGCTTCTTACTACAGACGCTTCGTGAAGAACTATGCGGATATGGCAGCACCATTGCACCGACTCACGGAGAAGGGTCGGCCTTTCCACTGGAGCCCGCAATGCCAGGAATCTTTTGATGAGTTACGTCATGCTTTGGCCAGCACCCCAATCCTTGTTTTCCCGGACGTGTCACCTCAAGCTGCCCCATTCATTTTGGACACTGATGCTAGTGAGGTTGGTATCGGAGCTGTGTTATCACAGGTCGCTGGGGATGGTATGGAACGGGTTATCGCTTACACTAGCCGCAAGTTGACAAAACCAGAGCGAAACTATTGCACTACTAGGAAAGAAATGCTTGCCCTGGTCTCCTTCGTTAAACATTTTCGACATTTCCTGTTGGGTCGACACTTTATAGTCCGCACTGATCATCAGGCGCTCCGGTGGTTGCGGGAATTTCGCAAACCCGAAGGGCAAGTTGCGCGTTGGCAAGAACAACTGCAAGCCTTCGACTTTGAATGTCAACATCGTCCCGGGAAGCAACACAGAAATGCAGACGCCCTGTCTCGCCGGCCGTCTAGGGCACATGGGGATTGTCCGTCGTGTTCAACCTCGAACGTTGCCGTTGTGTCTCTGAACCATTCGGATTCAACAGACTGGGCATCAGCTCACAGTACAGACCCAGAGACCAAGTTGATTTATGAGCGCCTACGACAGGGGAGTGTGAAGCATACGAAGGCAGAAATGGCTGGATCTAGCTGGGAAGCGCACTGCTTGTGGTCTCTGTGGTCGAAAATTCGGCTATTGGATGGTGTCATGTACTACCAGTTTGGTCCAAATTACCCTAGCAGACTTATCGTCCCACAGTCCATGGTGCAACGGATACTCGAACAGCTACATAGGGAGTTGGGTCATGCGGGACAACGGAAAATGGAGCAAGCAGCAGGTTTGCGTTTTTGGTGGCCTCAACAGCGTCGAGATATTGCGAACTTCTGTAACGCCTGCCATGAGTGCATCCGCTTTAAGCAATCACAAACGATGAACAGGGCCCCCTTACAGCCCATGGTGATTGGATATCCCAACGAAACCGTAGGTGTGGACGTCCTTGGACCCCTGCCTGAAACGCCACGAGGGAATCGGTATATACTTGTTTTGGTCGATTATTTCACCAAATGGTGTGAGGCAATACCAACCCCGTACATTGACGCCAGATCCACAGCTCAGCTCGTGTTTGACCACTGGATTTCACGGTGGGGGGCACCTGAGCAACTTCATTCTGATCGTGGTTCTAGTTTCGAAAGCTTGGTAGTGTCTGAACTCTGCCGAATACTAGACATTCGAAAGACTCGGACAACAGCCAACCATCCCCAGGGCAATGGCCAAGTAGAGCGCACGAATCGATCGCTGAAGGCTCTTTTAAAAGCGTTCACGGAGGAACACCGCAGTCGCGATTGGGATATTGCACTTCCACGGTGCCTCCTGTCCTATCGGTCCAACGTTCACTCGTCTACTGATAATACTCCACACTTCATGGTAACTGGGCGCGAAATGAGATTGCCAATTGATTTGACTGTGCCAACAGCGGCTGCTGATTCGCTCCTTGCCACAGACTATGCCGTTCGTTTACGTCGGGACCTGACCAAAGCTTATTCGCTTGCGCGAGAGCACTTAGGAGCTGCCCGTCGATGTCAAAAGGATTACTATGACCAGAAAGTGCACGGCTGTCCACTTCAACCTGGACAACAAGTCTACCTCCACACTCCGAATCCATCTCAGGGCGTTCCGGCGAAGCTGCACAAGGAGTGGTCCGGTCCATTCGTGGTCGAGGAAGTGTATACTGATTCCACCTGTCGAATTTACAGACAAGGTGAAAACACCGACCGTTCAATTGTTGTCCATTTCAATCGTCTCAAACCGGCAACTCTCAGTACTCAACCCATTTCACCGTCTCAGCGCCCGGTAACCGACACTGACCCACCAGATGCGTTAACAGAAGTGGAAGTAACGACCACAGAGCCCCACGTATCGATTACTAGTTAGGGCGGCGAGGACGACGCCTCTCGAAGAGGGGGATGATGTAGTGCCAATGGTCGAACTCTTTTTGACCTTCTCTTTTTTCCCCTTTCAGATCGGCGGCCTGACAACCAAGCAAGACATTTGGACTGTTTATCAGATGACAATGACTTTAAAGAATAATAGTAATT